TTAGAGTAATTTGAGTCTATAATCAAACACGATCCCTAAAACAGTATTAAAAACAGAATTAAAGTGTATTTTTACTAACAAAGCTCAGTATGTTCCTACCTAACTGCTAGTGGAGAAACTATATTGCAATCTGTACAACCATTTCAAGCATAATACTTCAACTGATGATATCAAGGTGAGCTCCACAGTAGGAACAAAGCCAAAGTGTGCATTAGAGATTGCCACTCTTGATTAAGATTCTTTGAGTAGTCAGAAAGAAACATTTTGCTTTCTAACTGAATCTTCTACCATTTTAATAGGTTGCAATTTAATACAGGCTATTTCAAATGAGCTATCCTGATGAAATATGAAACAGGAATCAGTTTAAGAATTCAGAAGACCCTGAACTTATTGCAGACATATCAATGCATTCAGCTGTACTAATCACCTCCAGCACTTTTTGCTGAGCTCTTCCAGTAAAACTGCTTGTCGTACAAATGAACTTCGTCTTTCAAACTGTCCAAGGTTTGTTCGGAATTACCTTAAGTGCAAGTTTAGGAATTCTGCCGCTTTTTAGTACATTGGCTCCCTCTCCTGTTCACTTGGTGTACGCAATAAACTCAACAAACAGTGCCAGTAAAAGTTCCTCAGCACTTACCATCACTGCTTTTGGGAAGAGCTCTTCCTGAGGCTCACAAGAAAAGACTATTTCACAGGTACCCGTGTGAAAGACACCATCCTTGTTCAATGCATAAGAATAGCAGGGTCCAAAACAGTGATGTATACAAAAGAATTAAATATAACAAGATTGTGTGAGAAATAGTTAAAAATAAATTTAAAAAAAAAAAAAAGAGCCAACAAAAGAAGGATTTTTCAAGTGAAGTCATTACGTGGAAACTTTAAAAACCAGTCCACGACAGAGTTAAGAGATGTGTAAATTAAAGACTCCATTTGAATAGGAAGGTCCAAAAAGCTGCCTGTGGTTCAGCCAACACAAAGAAAGTATAAATTGTAACAGTAACACCAAAAATGAAGAAGAGAAAGATCAGATGGGTAAGGTAACTAGTGATAATTGGCACATGAGAATCAGAATTAAAATCACTCACTATGGCAAGAATTTGTGGAGTGTAAAGGTATCACATTTTAAGAAAGCACTGGAAGAACTCCAGATCTAATGTCAGTAGCAGGTAAACTGACAGAAAAATTGGAAATAAAGTGACAGTCCTATAGGAAACATGGCAAGATATGGAGAAGTCTGGTTTCCACTCCCCTCTGTTCTCCGAACAATGAATCGGCAGCAGAAGGAGAAACACGAGAAATGCTTTCAGGGAAAGGCTGGTTACAGTCAGCGTAGGCACATTCCTGCAATGAAACCTGAGTAAAAACACCAGATTCTTGAGGCTACCAGGGACACGGAGGGAACAACAATGATATTTTTGAAATTCAGCATATGTGGTGCATTTTCCCTACTTGTCTGGAAGGACTACACGTCAGGGAATGCTCACATCATTGCGCTGCAGCTCAGTAAAAAAACCACACCTGAGACATAGTGCAGGTAAAAGCCACATAAAACTCCACCTGCTTTAGTTAGCTGTGTTAAAAAAATTAGAATTAAAAGAGATCAATAGAAGGCAATGTCACATAGATTCAGAACCATTAGACATCTCGAAAAGAAATCGTCACCAGGCAGTCAGGGCTGAATGGGGACACCAGCACTGAATTTCTGCAGATCATTGTAAGGATGAGAACACTACTGGATGTGTCCGTCAACAGCTTTTTAAGTGTTTATGACCAAAAGAGTGGCAGCGTGGTAAGACAGGGACAGCACATAAAAAGTATGTTTGACACATGGAGAATGAGGGAAGGGAAGATGCACCAGGAGAGCGGGTGATTCTGAAAGGACCAAGGCAGGGGCTCACACTGCCAGAGCAAGCTGCAGTGAACAGCGTTAATGAGATGTAAAACCAGCAGAGTAATGACTTCTGATCTCCACTGCCAGGTTTATTTTTATCCAAGACTGTTTAAAATTAAACGCATAAACAACCTGGAAAGAACACACCTTCTCCCCGGCTCCAAGGTATGTGTTTTGAACACTATGCTATAGTTAGCTTTGCTCATTTTCTTTCTGGCTCTCCTTTTGCGCAATGACAGCTCCGACTGAGCTACAGAGCATCGTCTTCGCAGCAAACACGTTCAGTCTGGTGGTTAATACAGCTTTCTGGAAAATTGGGGATGGGAATCTATATCCTGCCACCGAAGCAAACGCATCATCCACATCTCTCACCTCCTGTGAGACCTCTAACTAGAAAGGAATTGTTCAAAAGGTGACCATCCTATTTTCTTTCTATATTTCAGATCAGAAGAACAATCTTGTGAAAAAACACAAGTACTTACATGTGAGCTCTGAATCACACACAGAAGGGGGTATCTACCTGGAGCCCTGACTCAGCTGTTACAGAGCTAGAAAGGGACAGGATTTCACACCCTTCTCCAGGGTTAACGTTTTCTACTGCCAGCTCTGGGCTGCTCCCCCCCAAAATAACCTGGTTTTCAGGGCATCGCTTTGAAACCATTCGACTCATCCTATGCGTAGTAACACAGGTTACACTTGGCTTTGGCCCTGGAAGAATTTTTAGGATGTGGTTTGGATACAGGCAAATGTTTTTTAGATATGCATTTTGGCAAATATATTTTAGATAAAGGCAAAATAAAGACTTACTACAAAGGTAAATGTGTGCACTTTAATGGCCTTTGATAGACACAAAAGACTAGAATATCTAGTAGCTCTTAACTACTAGCTATTTAATTTTTGTTCTCCCCCATAAGCATAATGTATGACATTTTTTTTTGATCACTGATACTGTATTTTGTACCAAAAAAAAGCATTATATAATCCCCCACAAGACTAGATTTATCTTTAACTGAAGCAATTATCTAGAATTGCGTGGACAGCTATGAATGGAACTTTCCCAAATTCAGTTTGTAGTCATTACATTTGAATTGTTAGACTAAATTAATAAGGGCTTCTGTAACACTATATTTCACTGAAATGCATAAATAATAACTTCTGTAGTTTTAAAAGTAACCTACCTGTCTCATTTTTGGTTTTGAAAAGTCATGCTGTGAAAAAGCGTCCTTTGGAATTTTACCTTTTTTCCCCATTATTGACAGTGACGATCTTCATGCATTTGCATAATTACATGTGAAAATATTACAAGATCAGTTTTCAAGGCATGTCCCATCAAAACTGTGAACTCATAGCCAAGAATAATTTTTTATGGGATGGTGCAATGTTTGGCAATGGTGCCCAGATTCCCTAATTTGGAACTAACAACTAATTTGGTTCCTGTAAAGGAACTTCTGAAACACCAAACATCTAGTCAGGTATCACTACAGGAAAGAAAAACACCAAACTTGCTACTTCATAAAACAAAGACAAACCCCACTCTTCCTACTCTGTAACAAATCAAAGAACTAGAGCATCAACCACTAGAGCTCGATTCCCACCCCCCAAAAACCTCACCCAGGCACTTGCATTAATACTTATCTCAGCAAATGACAATCTAATTTTCTCCCATTTTCATATTCTCACTTTGCTGATCCACCAGTAGAAATATTCTCGTATTGTGTTTGACTAGTGGTAAATGGCTACAGAAATCTTCTAAGCTGTTGCTGTCTAGGATTCTATACACAGAAAGAGGAAATTTCAAAGGTCAGGAGAGTCTTTTTCTTAAAATGTACATGAGGGCACATCCCCAGTCCAGAATTAAAAAATTCTATTTTCTCCATCTTCAATGGCATGTAAAAGCTGCACTTGTCATTGCACCAAGGTCAAGTCATTGCACCAAGGAGATGCAGACAGATCGAACAACCCACCCTAAACCGTGTCCACTACTTACTTCGGACTAAGGATCACTCTGCTGTCTCCTGATGATGGATAACTTAGTTTCTGTAGATGGTTGTCTGTGCAGATTTAAACACCACCTTACCGCAAAATCCTCTTCTCCGCGGTCCGTTTCTCCTCCAGCTCAGCTAGGGAATAAGAGCAGCTTGGAAATCACAAAGCTTTTCGTCATCTCGTAAAGGTGCTGACAGAACAGCAGGTGTTACAACTCTCCCCTGCAATCCACCGTAACCATTTCAGAAGACCACAGAGCTGGGCAGGGATCCCCTGTGTACCTACGACCACTCTGTCAGGATTCCAGCACAGGGAATGCCAAGCTCTGCACAGCCATGAAGGCGCTTCCGTGAACATCGCTCGTGAAAATTGGAACAGTCATTAACTTCTACAAACTGATGGTATCTCTTAACAAGCTTTTAGTAAAAAGCTGCTGCTGGTTAATATTAAATCTGCCTTCCTAGTTGCAGGAAATGCTGCTTTCACATTCAGTTAAAAAAAAAGAAGTCACAAAACGTAATTGTCACTCTTAACAAGCTTTTAGTAAAAAGCTGCTGTTGGTTAATATTAAATCTTCCTTCCTATATGTCCTATATGCAGGAAATCCTGCTTTCACATTCAGTTTAAAAAAAAAAAAAAAAAAAAAAAAAGAGTCAAAAAACATATTGTCGCATTGAGACAACTTGTTAATAACCTGAATTATTTCCAGTTACTAATTCTGAGTAACAGGCCTTTTGCAACTCACTTGTTAATAACCTGAATTATTTCCAGTTAATTCTGAGTAACAGGCCTTTGCAACTGAGTCATTAAGCACAGTCTTCTACTTGATGTAGCTCGAACTCAGCCAATCCCACTGCACAGCTACAACTTTCAACTTCCTTTTTCTCCCCTGTCCTGCTCAGGACACACAGGAGAAGTGCTGCTAAAGCAAACAGCAGTGGAGAAGCCTAGCTTTGCTAATTCTAGTCAAAAATACCTTCTAACCTCACCACACTTGTAAGGCCCTTTCACACCAACTCCATTAGCATTTACATTCTTTCATGCTGAGCTTCTGTTTGTCTTGTTTCCTAATGATGCAAAGCTGGACACTATTTTTCTACATTTTCACTTAATTTCACACACATACAGCAAACAAGATTTTTAATTTTTTTTTTAATTTACAGTATTGATTGCTCTGAGTTATGCCTTACTGTTGGTACACAGTAAATACATTCATCTGAACAATTCACTTAGTATGAAAAAAATGCAGTTAAAACATTAAAAATACCGCTTTACACTGTGCGAAACAGAACCTTCAGAAGTAATGACATCAGCTACAGCCAGGCACAGAGGAAGACTGTTTCCTTGTAGGCTACCACAGCATTCATCCCCCCTTCATCTGAAACTCTAGATTTTAGGTGAATGCTTCTGCTGAATTAAGATGATTTAATAACTCTCAGTTGGTCTTTAGCACTCGCGTTTCCAGAACAGGATGTTTCTCTGTTCTGTTCGTTACATCAAGAATGGCTGGTTTTGGAAGATTTACTGAACAAAAAGTCTCAATACCATGTAAAAAACTGAAGATGTTTCTGAAGGGGAGTTTTACTCTAGTGGTGCATGCAGCTGTCAAAGGCTGGATAAATCAGGTAACATGCTTCCCCAAGATAAAAGAAAAGTGGCGGGGCACAACTGCCATTTCACAATTAGTACTGAAGTCAGATGAAATGAATTCTTATTGCAAGCTTTAGACAGATTAATATATACCACAACACCTAGCACTGATTAAATTTAGAAAAATATTATCTTGTTGGGTTTTTTTTTTAGCCTTTGTTGTTTTGGTTTTTTTCTTAAAATCTTTAAAGTCATGTAACAGAAGATGTATGGTGGAAGATGCCAAAAACCACCCTGCTTTTTAATCTGGAAGAGCTGGGCTGTCAAACCTATTATGCTGTTGATAATTACTCATTTGATTATTAATTGATATCTTTTAAACAATGAAGAGGCAGGAAATGCTTATTTATTTGTTTTTTAATTTACGATCAAGAATGACTGAACATTATAGTAATTTGAATCAACCCAATTACATAGTTTTCATTAAGTTAATGGCTGCCAAACAAGTGTGTACTCCAGTGACCCACCATATCTGACCGGTGAGACAGATTTTTAGGCAAGACACAGCACATGTAAAAATAGAAAGTTTAAAAACCAATCTCACAGACATTTCCATTGCCATCTCCTTTGTGAAATAAATAAGGCAGCAGATAACTTTTACTTTGAAGTGGCATCTTTGAGGTATGCTATTAAGTCTGCTCTCTCAGACTTCTTCTTGATACCCGCAAAAATCATCTTTGTTCCTGGGATATACTTCTTTGGATTTTCCAAATACTCCATCAGAGTATCCTCACCCCAGGTGATACCTAGAGAGAAGAAGAGTGGTTAGTGATTTATAAAATAACAAATATATTTATATTCTTTTCCTCCATATTACTTTAGGGCAGATTTCAGTATGTCTAGAAATATCACCGAGAACTGAGTATTTTTGTCCTTATTAACTCATAACAACAGCTTTAAGTTTACCTTTATTCTTATTAGCATCCGTGTAAGAGAAGCCCGCAGCTTGGCCAGTCTTGCGCCCAAATAGGCCATTCAGGTTGGGTCCAGTCTTGTGCTTCCCTCCCTTTTCAACTGTATGGCACTGGGAACATTTCTGGACAAAGATCTTCTTGCCCTTCTCAATATCTCCCATTTTCAGTACTAGACCAAGAACACACACACAGAGGTCAGTATCACAATTTCAAGGTCACCTATTCAAAGTGTCCTGTATATAAGGCTTACAAGTCTAGGAATTCTTTGGCATGTTTTCCATCCACAAGCTATAGCTCCTGGGTTTGAATATTAGCATAGAACCATTAGACTATGTACGAAGCATCAAGGTGATAGACATGCTTGAAGAGCAGGAAAAAAATCTGCCCTCAGCCAAAGCAATTGCCCCACAGCATTTAAATAGCACAGAGATAATTTCTGAAGAGTAAGCTGAATTTCCATATAGAGCTTGTGTACCTATAATAGGAAAGTTCCCCAGTCACGAGTAACCTTGTGTGAGGGGTCAAGGCTGTTTGCAGGCTTTTCCTTTAGAGCTGGAGCAGCCCACTGCCCTGGAAGGGGCCTGGGGGCTGCAGGCACCGAGCCGGCCCGCTCCCCCCGGGCCAGGACGCCCCTCGCCAGCACCGAGGCTGCCTGCACCCGGCGCGGGGAGAGCGCCCAAGGGCAACCGCACCCGCGGGCTTCGGCCCAGGTTGACCTTGGGCGGAAGAGCGGGCTCCCGGCGCCGGGGGAGGGGGGGGAACCGAGACGGGACGGGACCCTCCAAGCGAGCGCCGCGACCCGGGCCCGACCCCGGAGAGGGAACCTGGCGCAAGGAGACCGACCCCGCAAGGGCGCGGGGGTCGGGCCGCGCCACCCCCCAACTCCAGCGGCCGCCCCCCGAACCCAGGCAGGTCGCCCCCCGAACCCGGGCCTACCGGCCGCGGCCCCTTGGGGTGGGACGACTAGGCCCCGCCGTGACCTTCCGCCGCGCCCCGGCCGCCTCCTTAGGCCGCGGCGCCGGGCTCTCAGGCCCCGGAGGCGGCAACCGCGGTCTCGGGACAGACGAGCCCGCCACCCGCCCTCCTCACCGTCCCGCCCGCCTCACCGCCCCGCTCCGGCCTAACGGTCCCGCCGGGCCGCGGCGCCAGGCCCAGGCCGAGTCGGCCCCAGGGCCGGGCCAGGCCGTAGGTTCCCCGCCGGCTGCCGCCCGCACCTGTCCGGCCGGCCGCCCCACTGACGCTGCGCCCACGGCGTAACCGCAACCCCGGCAACTCCCGCACCCTCCGGCGTCTGAGCCCAAGGACACGCCGTACTCCGCCCTATGTAAGCCGGTGTTGACGCAACCAACCCGCGCCGGCACTCGGCCCGCCCCTCCCGAGACGACAACCAATCCAGTGCCGCCTTTTGGACCTCTGATTGGTTACGGCGCCTGTCCGCCATGGTGGACGTCACGGCGCTGCCGGCTAGCGGGATAGGTTGCGGCCGGCGGGCGCCGGGTTGCTTTCCCCCTCCCCCTTCCTGCGGAATGGCGTCAGACGTAACTCTGCTACGTAAGGGGCGCCGAGGCGCGCGGGACGTCGCGCCCCCGTGCGTATGCGTACGGCGGGAGGCGCCGCAGGGGTCAGGCGGCGGCGCGAGCGGGCCGCGACCTCAGCGGGCGGGTGGTGCCGGCCGCGTGGCGGCGGGGTGGGCGGGGCCGGGGCCGTGACGTGACGCGAGGGAGGCCCCGCCTCTCCCCCCCCGCCTTCTCCCGGCGCGCGCAGGGGCCGTTGGAAGGCGGCGGTTTGTGGCAGCTGCCGGGCGCGAGGAGAGGAGCCGTGAGGCAGCCGGGGCGAGGGGGGGCGAGCGGGGTGAGCGGAGCTGTAAAACCTGCCTGAGGGGTAAGGAAGGGGGCTAGGGGTGTTCAGCCCGCAGAAAAGGAGGCTGAAGGGAGACCTTAGTCAGTTTCTTCGCCTAAGTAACTAGCAGTCGGTCAAGAGGAAACGGCCTCAAGTTATGCCAGGTGAAGTTCACAGAATCACAGAATGGTTAGAGTTGGAAAGGACCTTAAAGATCATCGAGTTCCAACCCCCTGCCATGGGCAGGGACACGTCCCACCAGACCAGGTTGCTCCAAGCCCCATCCAGCCTGGCCTTGAACCCCTCCAGGGATGGGGCAGCCACAGCTTCTCTGGGCAACGTGTGCCAGTGTCTCACCAACCTCACAGTAAAGAATTTCTTCCTAATAGGTACTCTAAATCTCCCCTCTTTCAGTTTAAAACCCTTACCCCTTGCCCTGTCACTACACTTGACAAAGAGTCCCTCTCCGGCTCTCCTATAGGCTCCCTTCAGAGACTGGAAGGCTGCTATAAGGTCTCCCCGGAGCCTTCTCCAGATTGGATATTAGGAAAAATTCTGTAATCTAACATTGGAAGAGGCTGCGCAGGGAAGTGGTGGAATTATCATCCCTTGGAGGTATTTAAAAGATGGGTACGTGCTGGACTTAGGGACATGGTTTAGTGGTAACTTGGCAGCACTAGGGGCGGGGGGGGAGGGGGGGGAACCGAGACGGGACGGGACCCTCCAAGCGAGCGCCGCGACCCGGGCCCGACCCCGGAGAGGGAACCTGGCGCAAGGAGACCGACCCCGCAAGGGCGCGGGGGTCGGGCCGCGCCACCCCCCAACTCCAGCGGCCGCCCCCCGAACCCAGGCAGGTCGCCCCCCGACCCCGGGCCTACCGGCCGCGGCCCCTTGGGGTGGGACGACTAGGCCCCGCCGTGACCTTCCGCCGCGCCCCGGCCGCCTCCTTAGGCCGCGGCGCCGGGCTCTCAGGCCCCGGAGGCGGCAACCGCGGTCTCGGGACAGACGAGCCCGCCACCCGCCCTCCTCACCGTCCCGCCCGCCTCACCGCCCCGCTCC